ACAGCTGGATTGAGTATACCGAAGGACTCGAATACTATTTCGCGGCGAGCGAGATTAGAGACAACAACAAGAAACGGGCGGTTCTGCTCGGCGTATGTGGAGGGAAAACGTACAAACCCATTAGGAATTTGGTTAATTCAAGGAAGCCAACCAGCAAGTCGTTTGCAGAGCTGGTAAATCTGGTAAAGAATCATTTGAATCATAGACCATTGACAATCGCGTATCGCTTCAAATTTAACAGCCTCTTTTCGTCAGCAAGGAGAAACAATACAACAGTACGTCGGCGAACTGAGGAATTTATCGGAGCACTGCGAATTTGTGACCAGTTGCAAAAAAATGCTTCGTGATCAAGTGGTTTGCGGTGTGAAAGACGAACGCGCACTGCGGAGATTGCACGCCGAAAGTCAACTGGAGGTTAAGAAGACAATAGAATTAGCCATCGGGATGAAAACGACCGACAATAATACACGTGATCTGAAGAATGGGAAATCCCCAGTTAAGCGCGTGACTAAGGACCGACCGAAAGAATTCTTAGGTTGTGGAACTCGGTCTCACGATGCCGATAAGTGCAGGTATACAGACGAGGAGTGCAGTGCTATAAATGCCGTAACAAGGGTCACAAAGTGAACAAATGTCGCAATAACCTTTCGAAATGGCAGAAAATCTGGAAACACGCATCACATGGAGACAACAGAAGAAGCGGAAGAGGAAGAATGTAGAAAATACACGATGTACACGATGTAATAAAGATTGATTGATGTTTCATATGACCGCTATTAAAGAAGAGAGAACCGTATCGAGTTCAGTTACAACTAAACGGAGTTCGGACGAGTATGAGAGTGGACACCGGCGCCGCTGCTAAATCATCAATGAAAAACCTACAAGAGAATTAGATTGAAGGGAATCTGGTGAAGAAGCGACCCCAAATGGAAACTGCTAAAATGAAACTCCGAACCTAGACCGGTGAGTTAGTCAACTTTGAACGTTCTTGTGAAGCACGAGAAACAAGAAGTTGAACTGCAAACACTAGTAGGGAAAGATCTGGGCCCAATTTACTGGAAGGGCAATGGTTGAGAGTGCTTACACTAAACTACAAGGAGTTGTTCAAAATGGAAGTTGACAAAAAACAACCTAGCGTCTTCACTTGGAAAACGATCGACCAGTACTCGGAAGTGTTTAAAGAAGGACTTGGCACATTCAAAGGTCCAAAGGTAAAGATCCAAGTGGAACCAGAGGCACATCAAAGTTTTTAAAAGCAATACCGATGGCATGCGCCATGACAGTGAAGTTTGAAGTTGAACTCAAGAGGCTAAAGATGAGGGAACAATTCAATCCGTTCAGTTCTCGGAATGGGCAGCTCCCATTGTACCTATTTTGAAACCAGACGACTCAATTCGCATCTGCGGAGACTACAAATCAACTGTCAATCAAGTGTCGAAGCTGTACAGTTATCCTATTCCGAAGGTTGAAGATATCCTAGCAACACTAGGGGGAGGTGAAAAAGTCACTAAATTGGATATGAGCCAAGCCTACCAGCAGTTACGCTTAGATGATGAATCGAAACAACACACCACCATCAACATGCACAGGGTTTTTCCAGTGCACTCACCTATCCTATGTATATCATCAGCACCACGCATATTTCAGCGGAACATGGAGAATCTACTGCAAAACATTTCTTACGCAGTCGTATGGGTGGACGTTGTCCTAGTGTCTGGAGCCAGTGACAAAGATCACTAAAACAACCTGAAAGTAGTCTTGAAACAACTAGCAAGCGCTGGCTTAAGACTTTGGAAAAACAAGTGTGTGTTCATGGAACCTCAACTAACCTGCCTGGGTCACAAGGTCAGCAAGGAAGGTATTAAATCGTTGGAAGACAAGGTCGACGTCATCTCCAATGCACCAGCGCCCAAGAACGTGTCAGAGCTAAAATGGTACCTAGGAATGATAAAAAACAACCAGAAAATTTTATCTAACTTGTCAAGCGTATTGGCTGCATTGAATGAGTTGCTGCGTAAAGAGACCCGCTGATATTGGGGTAAAGAGCAAAAGGAAGAATTCCAGAAGTCGAAAGAATTCCTAAAGTCCTCTAAACTCCTAGTCCACCACGACAGTCAGAAGGAGTTAACCTTGGCATGTGATGCATCACAATATTGCTTAGGAACTGTCCTCTCGCCTCGAATGGACGATGGCTCGGAGCACGCAATTGCATATGCTGCCAGGACCCTGTCCAATGCAAAAAGTAAGTTTAATCTTGAGAGAGAAGCCCTCGCCCTGATGTTCAGCGTGAAGAAATACATTTATGGCGGACATTTTAACTTATTGACCGACTACAAACCATCGGAATCATTGTTTAATGAGAATATGGAACTATGGCAGCAGCTAGAATTCAGTGTTGGACCCTGACTCTGGCTGCCTACCAATACTCCATTGAGTACAAACCAGGACCAGAACATGTCAATGCTCCTGCCCTTAGCCGGAGGGAATGCCGGTTAGTCCTCCGAATACTCCGTTGCCTACAGAAACTGTGTTTACAATAGAACTTCTCAATTCGACGCCACTGAGCGTGATTGAGATGAGAACCGGAACTAGATGTGATCCGATACTGTCGGAAGTGATCAAGTATGTTCAGCAAGGTTGACCTAATCACAGCTCAGATGAAGCATTGCAAGAAGCCCTATTTCAACAGGGAAGATGAATTAAGTGTTCAAGATGGATGTTTGCTATGGTGCAATCGAGTGGTGATCCCCCTAAAGAAAGAGCAAGAGTGGTAGAAGAGTTACACGAGTCACCCTGGAATTTGCCGTATGAAGACGTTGGCGATAAGTTATGCGTGGTGGCCAACAATGGATACAGACTTGGAGCAGAATGTGTACCAGTGCAGTCCCTGTCAGGAAAACAGAAAGTTGCCGCCAGAACCTCTTTTACATCCCTGGGAATGACCTCATAAACCCTGGATTCAATTTCACCTAGACTATGTAGGTTCGTTTTTTGGAAGAATGTTTCTCATCGTGATAGTTAATCACTCTAAGGAGGCTTTTCCAATGAACACGTCGACGTCCTATCATCTAGGAGCGTTTCATACAAACGTTGTCTTCACAGACAATGGCACCAACTTCGCAAGCAAAGAGTTTGAAGATTTTCTCAGACAGAACGAGATCCATCGCATCAGAACCGAGCCACATCACCTAGCATCTAATGGAGTGGCTGAGAGAGCGGTACAAACACTCAAGGAGGGAATGAAGAAGATGAATGGAGGAAATGTGTAGAAGCAAGCTTCAAGAGTTATAGCTCGTTACAGAATCACCCCTAAGACTCAGAGAGAAGTCTTGCCTGCAGAATTGCTCCTAAGAAGGAAACCCAAATCAAGACTAGACCTAGTCTACCCGGAAATTGGAAGGAAGTCCGGGGAAGCTATTCATCTCAGAAACAGGCACAGGACTGGCACGATAAAGAACGTACCATGTGGGAAGGAGAAGCAGTTTACGCAAGCAACCGCAGAAGTGGACCAAAATGGATACCTGAGGCCCATTTCTCGAAAGCCCCGGAAACCGCAAAGCCATTTTTAGTTCATCTGTATCTAAAAACAGAGAGGTTTATGCGTCTGAAACGTCTTGTATGAAGGGTACCTCCGTTAGGCATATGTGAATAAAACAGCTCTGTAATCAGAAGATTTGAGATTTTGCTATAGCTCTCCGAGTGCGTAAACCTTTCGGGACATTCGAGAAATGGGCCCCTGAGTCGACCGTTCCAACGTCGCTTGCAAGAAAAACTGGAAGATGGAGACCGTCGCGAGGACACCAAGACCACCTGACACCGCAGTCCAGCGTTCCGCAAGTGCGTACTGCTGATCAAGAGGTTCCTGCAGACCCCATTCCAGTATCGCATGCAGCTGAACAGTCATAATTGCAGCTGGTAGAAGTCCCAATGGAGCCAGCCGAGCCTGTTCAATCACCTCCCAAAGGCATCCCAGGAAAGCGCTATCCTACTAGGAACAGACACGCCCCTCAATACTTGGCTGATTTTGTTGCTAAGTGAATTATTAGGTTATTGAGACAGAAACACTTAAGAACTGCGGGCTAAGTTTTGTAGTGATTTGTTCTAATAGTTTTCACGGCTTAGTGGGGAAGTGTGGCATGTTGTGAGCTGTGTGGCCGCTCCTCCAGTAATTTTCCAGAGTTCAGTTTGGATGAAACACGTTGTTAGTCGCTGGAATTAAAAGGAGTTGAGTTCTCGAGTTTTGGCTGGTTTATTGGCCCCAGAATACTACAGGATCCATTGTAATAACTGTTTTATTAATCTGTTCTACTAGGCGCGTGGAAGAATCTGATTGGTACTTGGACCGACAAAGGCTCATCATGGACAGGAAGTATTCCCCACAATAGCGCTCAATGGCACTTCGGACCAGCGCGACTATGGACCACGCCTTTGAACACAGATAAGTATGGTAAGAAATCTAATCAAACATAGACACGTCAGCACGGTGCTAGGTTCACTAGAAATGTCGAGTTCTTTCAGGCTTCAGATATTCCAACTTTTTGTTAACAGGGAATCGCATAGCAGTCTATTCATACCTAAGCGTAAAAATGTTCAAAGGCAATATTACCCTATTATTATATGGCTCTGTCTCAAGTACTGGGAACTACTTAATTCACAAATTTGACCAGCTAAAATCGACATGAAAGCGGTCTAGATTTTCCCATCCAGACCGGCAGCTAGACCGGTAATTTTTTGGCAGTGAAAAAGTTGCAAACTATTTTCTTCTAACAATATTTATTTCGGGAAGTGCCAAAAAGCCTGAGGAAAAAAAAAGGAAAGAGCACGAGCAAACTTTGGCAGAATTAAATTCAGGCTATCGCCGTTCGCAAACAAAATGTTTGTACTGTTAGTACAAACCAGTTACATTAAACGAATTAAATTGTTCTTGCTTACCATATAATAAACATCTTATTAACCGAGCTCAGTCGGTCTGTATGGGAGAATATGAGGTCTGTACACACGATCTCGGTCAAGATTCTCTTATACAGACCTCCTGCTTGGTTAAAGAGAGCTAAATATTAGACTTGCTTTGCGTGAAAAAAAACTCGCTTTGGGTGTTCATATCCCCTTGAATGCTGCTAAATGTTAATATTTTAGTAGTTTCTTTGCGACAGTAGCGGCGTGAAACGAGAGCTGAAGGTGTCTCTGTGCTTTTGAACCATAACTAACCATTTTGTAATTCATAAGGTTCTAATGACGATCGATTTTCTTATTTTAAGTGATCACTAGTCGTGTACAAGTGTTAAGTGGCAAGGCTTGTGGTCACATCTTAAAATACAAACCAGGAAGTGCGAGGACACAATGTTACAAATTTTGTAACATTTTTCAATCATTCAGAGATTAGCTATAGCTCGGGAGTCAAATTTTTTTTTACAAGAAAAGACGAAAAGTAAGTTACCCTTCTTCTTCTCTTGATTCGTGCTATTACTTAACAATCATTTCCTTTTCTAGGTTGGGTTTAGTAACTAGCTCTAATCCAATCCAATCCATCCATTTATTATTCCATTCATCCATTCACTAAACATTCTTCTAGTCCGTAGAAATTAGAGTCATTATAAGTCGGTGGCAGGGTGTTTTTCGGGTCTTATGAATGAAATTAATTTAATTTCTGATTTTTCAGTTACATCAATCGAGGGCAAAACATTTTCCGCTTTTTTTCCTTTAACAGCCAGGTAACAAAAGCATGGGGATATTTCTTTTGGGGCGGTGATTCTATGTACATAACAAGTTCTGGAGCAGAGAGCAGTCCAAAAATCAAATTTCCAGTATCTTCTGGTGTCTGGTATAAACTTAAGTCCGTAGTCAGAGGTACTAACGTAAAAATATACGTCAATGACAACTTGGCCAAGGAAATAACAATGTCAGGAAACGGAGCTGATGATAAAAGCAACAATTATGTGGGAATATGGTGTCACAACAAAATTCCGATAAAGGGCGACAGTTTTCAAGGTAATAAAAAATAAAAAGTTTATCACATTTATTTATGGGCAAAATTGGTATCTGAGTTTCCAAAAATAATCTATTGAGCAATCAGATTGGTACGATTAAATCAAAGGAAATAAGTTTAAACAGGATAATGGACTAGGTCAAAGGACTCGAGTGACGAAAGTCGGAATAGGCGAGTCTTGCCTGCTGGTTGGGCAATTAAGTAAGGCAACTTCCTGTCTCTTGGTTTGCACCATCTAAAACTACCAAAACTCAACCACTTTCAAAAAATTCAACAAAACAAATTTCAAATTTATATCACTTCAAAAATGGAACTTTTTACGAGATAATCACACTGAAGTCTAATTCCATAACAATACACAAACAACAAACCAAAGAACTATCTTTGAAATGTATATGATGCATTTCCAGTTACAGTACCGAGTTGTCCAGCTCTTACCGTTGGCCGCCTTGTCAAAGCATCACCGAACAGTTGCCTGACGTCACAGGTGAAAACCAACACGAAATGCTCGTTCTCGTGTCCACAGAGATACCAGCTACAAGGTCCATCTTATAAGCAGTGTGGAGCAAATGGTCAATGGACGGACAGAGCTAAATCGGTTTCATGCATTGGTTAGTGTATTGCTTCAACCGAGTTAAGATATACATAAACAGCAATTCTAATTTATTTTGATGTGCGCGCCTCGCTGTATATTTGACTAAGTTTTTCTTCAATTTTTAGTTGTACAGTGTCCAGTTCTTACTGTTGGCCGACTTGTCAGAGCTACACCGAAAAGCTGTATGACGTCACAAATGAAAATCACCAGTAATTGCTCGTTCTCATGCCCAGAGGGATACCATCTACAAGGTCCATCTTATAAACAGTGTGGGGCAAATGGTCAGTGGACCGATAGTGCTAAGTCAGTCTCGTGCAAAGGTGAGCTTAAGATCACAGATGTTATCGTAACGACTGCTACTACTCACCGCTAGTTCCCTTTTTTTCTCATTTTCTCTGATTCTGTGAATAATACATGAACAATATTCCGTTCAGATATTGACGAGTGCACGGTGTCAAATGGCGGCTGCAGTCACAAGTGTGTTAATACTGCAGGAGGCTACAAATGTGAATGTCCAGATCCGGAATTGAGCTTAGCATTGGACAACAGTACATGTCATGGTAATCAACTAATGTGAATTTTTAATGCAAGACAAAACTAAGAAAATAAATGGTTTTAGGTTGAAACTTGTAAGCTCTGTTTGTAACTTATTTTAATTCGTATCCTTTTAGCACCAGGTGTTGACGTTCAGTGCAACAGCGACAACATGACAATCACCATTCCCAAGTCCCTGCTCCGTGGTATTGACCGTGAGCATATTCGACTCCTAGACACTACATGCAAAGCAAAAGAAACAAGCGCTGACTTCTCTCTAACAACACCGCTGACTGGCTGTAATACAAGACGCAAGCAAACAGCTTCAGCTATTGTCTACTCCAACACAGTCTTGGAAATCCCTGTGGCTGCTGAGGATGTCGTGACACGCGTGCGTGAAATAGAAATACAGTTCAGCTGTTTTTATTCCAAGTATGGCGTGGTATCATCGGTTGGTTGGAAGCCAAGTAACAGGAAACTTGTGTTCAGTGATGAAGGCAAAGGAAACTTTACACTTTCTCTGAACATGTTTCCTGACAAGAGATTCGTGAGTCCTTACACGAAGGATGATTTTCCTGTTCCTGTGGTGCTACGTAAACTTCTGTTCTTTGAGGCATCAGTGACATCAGGTGACAACCAGCTGTCAATCATAGCGAATAGATGCTATGCCACGCCCACTCAGGATCAGAAGAATTCCTTGAAATACGAATTTATAACGAAAGGGTATGTTCAGAATCATTAGTTCTCTCTCCGCATCTGTCTGTTACTTACAATGTGGTTTAACATAAGACGGCGGTGCTGTGCGGCGACTAATTTTTGATTTTACATTTCTTAGATGCCCAAATGACATTACTGTGAAGTACCATTCTGCGCCTTCAGTCAGTGCACAGCGGTTTAGCCTGGAAGCCTTCAAGTTCATTGCTGACCATCCATTTGTGTTCGTTCACTGTCACGTGATTGTATGCAACGGAACCGACAGAGACTCTAATTGCGCAAAGAAATGTCCATCAAGTGGCCGAAGAAGACGTGAAGTCAGTGATCACGCTACTGGCGCGTACTATTTGGCCCAGGGCCCACTCCATCTGGCACGAGAGAAACGAGAGGAAAAGCACGGGAATGTCCAGGAAAAAAGTGGTATGTAAGCCAAGCGTGGAATTCTAAAACTGTAAGATAACATAAGTAGTTTAAAATCTTCAAACTTTAAAAGCGTAGTAAATTACGTTTTGATGAAATTTTTTCATGTGAAGTGTTTTTGTTTTGTTTTGTCGATTAGATCTTTCCTCGCTATGCAGTTCGATTCATAGTAGAAGCCTGATTAAAATTTCCTCTCAGGAATCACACATTTTTTCTTTCTTTCTTTTTAGGTTCCAGTCCTGTCATCCTGATGGCTCTGCTTGTGATGTGCGTGGCTTGCTTGGTCGGTACAGCGGCGATGATCTACAAGAAGTCATGTGACAAGTCCGCTGGCTATGCTATGCTTGCCAGCGGTGAAAAGGAGTGAAACATGTTCACTGACTTAAATTGGACTGGACTTAAGATACTTTAAGGCTACTCGAGCTTGAGATATGCATTGCGTATTTAAACTGGTTAATACTCCCTATGAATTAACCTTTTTGTAACAAAAAGAATCATATTTTTTGCTGCTTGACAGATTCACCCATCGTTGGCCATTTCTGGATATAGCCCTTTAGCTTGGCAGGCAAGGCTGCATCTCCTTTGATTGAAGAATAAGACGTGGCAAATTTTGAAAAATGCCTGAAAAACAATATAATATTCTGAGGTAAATGAAATTTAACAAGAAGCAGATTTACCATACTTAGACGATCTGGTTTGGCCATTTTCTTTGAAGAAATTTTTAAAACAAAATCTTCCCACTATCGTTTTTCTTCGCGTTTATCTCTACTAAATGTCAGTGACTGCATATCTTAAGTTCAAATTTATCCTTAATGTCTAGATTCTGAGTGGTCTTGAAAGCTAAATGCTTTAGTCTTCCTAGTTAAAAACCTTTAGTTTTCGAGTTTACTCATAATCTTTACAATTTACCGGATTGTCGAAAAAAAATGATTTAATTAAGGGTGCTACGCATTTTTTTACGTATTTTGGAAGGTGTAGAAACGGATAACTACCTCTTAATAATCAAAGGAAAACAGAAATGGAGAGCAATTTTGAAAGAACCAATAAGATTCTGCATCCTTTGTTTTACACCAATTATAAAAGGTTGTCGCTATTCGTGGAGAAAAAAATTAGACTCCAGAACTATTGTTGGTTCGTCTTGTAGGATTCTGACGGAGACCAGAGTTTATTTACTTCACCCTTTGTTGCCTGTGTTGGTTCAGAGATCGGCAACAGAAAGATGAATGGAAGGTTCTGGTATAAATTGCTATCATGCATGTGCTGTCATACATTTGTTAAAGGAGTATTAAAGTAACACCTTAACGTCTTCCTTGGGTATAGAGTTAATAATATTTGTTTACATGTAGCCAAAAGTGAATTTTAAAAAAGTCGAAATTGGTGTTCAGCCTTGACGACATATTCATCTTTCTGTGTGGGAAACAGAAATTTTGTAGCGGGAACATAGATGGTTGTTTCCAATTCTAGACGGGAACAAATCAGGCGGTGGAAGATTTCATGCCAGCGACTGATGAGATATTTAGTTGTTAACTGTAATAGTCAGGTGTGGTGTTGGAAGCTTAGTGCTGTTTAAAATAAGATCAATAAAACATTCAATTGCATTTCATGCCATGGAAAAGTATTTGCCTCGTGGTATCCTGCGCAGCGTGCTTCCTGGAGTAAATTTTATTGGACCATTTCATTAATTTTGTATATAAAGAAAATATATAAAGACCTGAATTGTGTTTTTCATTTTATCAGCTGTACGTTTGTGGAAAATGCTGGCGGCGTAGCTAGATGTTCCGGTGGGCTATTGTGGCGTGAAATGATCGGCGAAACCGTGTTCACAGGAGCCCATCGCTAGGAGCGTACAAGCCATATTTACTGCAGGCATAGATCAGAGCTCGTTTCCATTGCGTTTGTCTGAGTCACAGGGGATGCTTAATTTGGGTCAAATTTGTCAAGATTCCGGAGCAAAACTTTGAAAGCCAGCATCAGTTCCAGCCTAATCCCAGTAATACATTCTTTCAAATTCTTTTCTCTACACCTACAAATTAAGGTTAAAATTGTTAACCACAAAATAAACTATGGATTGTCTATCGTCTATTTTACCATTAAGGAGAAGCAGTATGAATTAAACAAAAATGGAGTTAGAAAGCAGAAAATAATTTTTACTTACAGGTTTTCAAGATCTCGTTTCCTGCTGACAAGTTCACCCCTGCATTTGTTGAGTAAGACCCAGTCAAGAGTTAGACCCTCGAGTTCCTCTTCACAACCTGGAAAAAAGATATCAATAAAAGAAAGTCTTCACAAGCCAAGTGGCCAAAACTGTCAGAAGTATCCAGGTTTCTATAGCGTGAAGAGACTAGGAGTCTCCCCCTCCATTCCACCTGAATAAGATATCAGTCTATCTTTCTTTCCCCACCCACTCCTCCCCAGAACATTTTGACAGGATTCCTTAGCAGTTCATTAGTGCTCATTGAGACGTCTAGAGGGAGAAGGTGCTGAGAGTTAAGATACTGACCTTTCGTTTTCTTTTTTTACTTTTTTCGTTCTCGTTATAGGTTGCATTGCTGTTTGTACGGAAATATCCCTCTCGTCCCACTTTCTTTCTTTTCTCTCCTCGTCATGGCAAGCCTATGACTGAAACCTGGCATATTTCACTGATTGAGAGCAAGAGACGATGGTCTAAGCTTAGATCATTGTCTCTTGCTGAGAGGTATGAAGAAAAGCTTTTCAACCAGTGTCTTGTTGTTCCTTTGAAAATTCCACTCTTCCTTTTTCGATTTTTTCCTGAGATCAAGGGCTAACTTGTAATTTCGTGAGCGTATCTGATGATTCGATCTAGTGCCTTCCATACATTGATCCTCTTCCCAAATAACAATAGATCTTCCTAATAGTGAAATAAGCACAATCACAAGCATGAGCAAAAAAAAGAAGCATGTCCGTTTTTCTTGTGCTTGCGCTTGTGCTTATTTCACTAGTGTTATGCGATCTCACAAGTGTGAACCATTGAGGCTGTGGGCTCACGCGATTTTTCTTTTCTCTTGATACTTTTTTGGAGAAAAACCTCGAAATTTTCTATCTATAAGTGATGAAAATATGGTATTTGACACATGTTCAAAAACTTGTCATTACATAATTACATCATTGCGCAATCAAAAGCCTTATTGTCACGTCAATAAATAAGCCCGAAACTTCTAGCCAAGCAGCACAGGGGACTTCCAAGTTAAAACTCGAACCTGTTATGTATGCTGAACGTAAACTGAAACTTTGAAAATGGCGGCCGATGTTTACTTCGATGAAAAGGTTTAGTGACCGGCCTTCATTTCCAGAATTGTCGGCATTTCCAGATGTCACGGGCTCAGAAAAAAAAGTTGTTTTAACCGATATTAAATTGTGTTTGGAACCACGAAAACAACTTGTAAGACACAATATTTTCGATCACTTTATAAAGCGCAGGAGTGTGAGCTTTACAAAGTGAGCAACGTGGACACCGAGTGGTGGGG